GAGTCTGAGAGTCTTTGGGAGGGGGATTTATACAGGTAGGAACAACGGTTCGTTGAGGCAGGGCTCATTCAAAAATACACAACTCCACTGTTGCATTTCTCATTGCTGCGGCTGTATTAACGATAAAGAAGACTACGTGCCGTCTGCTTCACAATGGAACGTTAAAGGATCCCTTGACGTCATTTGAAAAGAGTAGGCCATTGTGGCGCACACCATGGCCCATATTCGCATACTTAAAAGAGAATGTACTCAAAATCTACGGAATTGGATTACACATAGCAGGCCAGGTGCCAAGCGATCTTGTTCCCAACAGGGACACAGCTGGTACCACTGGGGATGGCCCTTTTGAATGTTTGAGATGTGATTGTAAGTCGCTTATCCCGTGTACAGAACTCCCAAGACTACGGCGTTAAGGGCGCTTCTTCAAAAACTAATTATTGTGCAGTATGTCGTGCTACATTCACGTGGAGACGTGCCACCGAAATTGTGTCCGCCTCCGATTCAGAACAATGTAATCAGCCGGTGTGCGGGTGGTGCAAGGTGGATCGATCGTGGCTGCGAGTACCCGAGGATGGCCTTGAGGCTGGTGATGAGCAGGGCTTCGGGGGTGTCGGGAACGCGAAGAGACACTTCTGCAGTAGGGAAAAATCCCTCCGCTCCAGCGCCAAACTCAACACCCCGGGACACGCGCTGCGGCACACCGACCCACCGGCCGTGAGTTAGTACACACAGTCCGCGCAGAAAAATCTCAAGACGGCTTAATTATTTTACCATCATGTCTTTTGTGTATCGCTCTTTCTAAGTTAGTTACACTTTTGCTTTCTCCATGAGCCTAAATGCAACATTCGTGTATCATTCGTGCAAATATTTTCCATAAATCGTACAGGGTGCGTGTATCTCGAGCAGAACCAATATTAGTCAAAAATATTGATGATTCGTTGCATGCGTATACGTTATAGGGGTTATTTGACCACATAATTAATGGTGGTCAGTGCAGATTGATGAAGGCTGAGAGCATAGACGTTGGCGCATAATTATGAATGCAGCACAATGGATTATTTTATGCTGACAAACATAGCCACATACCTCCTGAAGAAGTGAAATTGATCTTGCTCAAATGACTATTGAGGTGGTGGCCCATTTGCCTATTGCACCTCTGGGTCAGTGGTGGACACTCCACATTCCTATGACAGGGGCAAGTCTGTCCATGCCTACTAACCACTACCGGTGAGCGGGGGGGGGGGGGCACCTGTGTGAAAGGGCGCCCGTGCTCGCCAGACACACGAGCGAGCGCCGCGGGTGGAACGAGTCGGCGTCGCGCGACGCGCCGTCGTCGCCGCTGCTGCCAGCTCACGTGCCAGACGACCCGCCAAGGCCGCCACGTCCGGAGCGGGGCATGAGCACAGCACAGACTCTAGCGCCGTGCAGATCTGGTCATCCGAGCCGTCCTGCCATGAGGGAAGCGCAGACCCCATGTGATGCCTCCAAGACGATCACAACAACTTAACTCTCTCAGCAACCCAGCAACTCCCAGTTAAACTCTCACGGTCTCCAGAAAAACCCAGCTACTCTCTCGTGCCCCAGCAAAATCCAACTTAGCTCTCACAGCCCACACCAAAATACAGCTCAACTCTCGTATCTCCAGAAAAATCCTATTTATCTCAGCTGGTAGTGGCAAACGGACAAAGCTTGTGTGTAAATGATTATAACCTAGTTGTAAAGCATAAAACCAAGTTTCACAAGGCTCTTTAGACAACGAGTTCCCATTTCAGGTTATGTGCACTGATTGTCCAAAAATGGTTTGTGTGAACTGCGTAGTGGTGGTGGTGTGCATTGTCATGTAGGGGTATGGGTTTAGTCCTCAGTTTAATGAAGAAACAGAGGACTAGCTTAATATCCCGGTTCTATGTGGCACGGCTCATCAAACCAGAGCACAGAGCAGCTGTTGGCAGATGTAGGAGCCATGCCAACCAACAAAACGTGATGTGCCTGCAAATTCTGCTCACTTTAATTTCTATTAACCAAAAGATGCTGCCTTGGGTTAGCAATCCGAGGTCGCTGGTTCGATTCAATCTCCCAGCAGAGGAATTTAAGAAATGGTGAAAGTTTGTAAGAAACCCCCACGCCTGTTAACCGAAGCGGTATAAACGGGATCACTGCAGTAAGTCGATCAGCAGGTCACGTGCGGTGGGATAAGTGTGAATACGCCCACCTCTGTCTGGTCGTCTGGCCAGCGTGGAAGAGTAGGCCAAATACCATTTAGAGGGACTCTCTATAAGTTCCCTATCGTGGAGGCCCTTCCACCAGCAGCGGCGTGAGCAAGCCAGTGCACGGCTGCTCCTTAACCATTTATGAACTTCCGAATACAAATGTAATGTAGAGCAATCATCTCGAGACTTAAGGCAGCAGGGATTAAACACCGACGGAAGCATTTTTAATCGGTGAAAATGTTCTCGGACCACCATGCAGTAAATAAAGTTGGTGTTTTGTGAAAACTTTTGTTTGTGCCACAATTCCAGAGCACTTCCCACCCACGGCCTTGCGAAGCACAGGTTGGGAAGCCCCGCTCAAAGGGATCTTAAATCCTACAAGCAACGAACCCAACATTGACATGCCCTCACCTGCATGAGTGACAGCACAGACTCGGCTGTGACAGGCTCCTTTTGTGCCACTGTCTGAGACTTCCTGCTTCTCTTTGGCTGCGGACACGACGAAGTACACACCATTAATAAAACAAGAGATAATCATGTAAATAGATTTGCACTTGACATTCAGCAGAGTACAGTTGGCGTAGCAACAGGCTGGCAGTCGTAAAGGCAGTCAGTGAAAATCCCATCTGGTGATAAGAGGGGCTGTGTTTTGCGGACGCAGATAGCAGAGTGGAATTTGCACCCTTTGCTCAAGTATGAACAAAAATGCCTTTGTGATATGTGCATGCTTGCATCTAGGTAAACATACATTCTCACAAAGTCAAATATCCCTTGATTACCCAACACACACCGATGGGGCAAGTGCTCAAGGCGAGCACCTATTAAGAATGGCACGACACGTGGCGTGGTATGGCCAGCACGTGTCTGGCACCTTTGTATCCTCCCCCTACTAATGTTTCACACATTGCAACTGCCACACACTTAAAGCCGAGATGATCTACGAGACATCCAACACTGGCCACTGGGTGTTATCCCACCATCTGGCTCGTAGCACATTCATTGCTGAGCAGTATTTTTTTTATCACTGTTGCTGAGCAAAGTCTGTCTGGTAGATGTCACCTCGACATGCGTGCCAGGGTTGGCATACTATACGTCCGCCAACAGTGACGATTGCTTTTGCCAGCATGTGGCCCTAAGACAACGCAAGGTGCAGGAGCTGGGATCCACAACAGTTGATTCCTCTCGGATCCATCAATTTCGAAGTCCGAGCAACCAGAAAATCTGCTCATTGACACCCCACAATGCACCGTGGCGAGATGTTAACTACCTCGCCTGGTATGCTGGAGGCCGTGGGTTCGATCACGACTCTGGCGCCTGCTGTATATTTGGAGTTTGCGTGTTCTCCACGTGGTCATGTGGATTTCTCACTAGGTCCTCTGGTTATTCCTTCCACAATTAGAGTCAACATGCGTTTTTGACTATCTGGCTGCAATACATTTCCACATAAGCCACTTTCATTGAGCTATCATTTGTGGCCTGGTCACTTCTGAAAAAGAGCTAAATAGCTCAGTGGGCCTTATCTGGTAAAAATAAAAATAGTTTAGTTTATGTGGCTACACTGGGTCCCATAAGCCAACTCAAATAAAGGGGCCCACAAATAGTGTGACAGGGTATCCCCTTGGTCATAGGGACTTAAATTACACTCATCTACTAATGAAACATCCTTTTGTGTTTACGTTACTTTGGTTGCTCGTCCTTCACAGGCTGCGCGTACCAGTTGACCAGTGTCGGGCTTGGTTTTGTGTCTATCGAAAAACCAACAAAAACAACGTTAAAATGTGCACAAAAAGCATAGATTTAGGTCAATTTCATTTGTTTAACCAGAGACCAGAATAGTTTGTTTCGCAAGAGTGACTTGGTTCACCAAGATGGTAAAAGAAAAATAATATAAACTTTATCAAAGCCATCAAAAAAATAACAATCAGGGCAAAATGTGTCAAAGGAGAAATCGATGTTTGGATTTTTAAATCGATCAAACACACACCAAGTGCTACACAACTTGACATGACCTTTTAAGTGATTTTGTATCAGGTGGGCAAGAATCTGATTGGCCTTTAACTGAACTTAAATGACGGCATGCGCAACAGTCAATATTTGTTTTTACTTTTTTTTATAAAGAACATGAATACAATACAGACATCTATGTCAATAAACAAGAAAACAGTCTGTTACTAAATACAAGTACAACGCATCTGTCCCCAGAAGTCACACATGGCTCATCCTAGGAACTAATTATTACTAATTAGTGCATCCAATCCATGCCATACAAGATGCACCGTGTTGAGCGCCGACTGGACAAATTGAATGGGACTACAAGGGGCAGGGGGTGTGGTCACCTGTGTGGAGCAGCTGGTGCTGCTTGCCCAGGGCCAAGGCAAGGCAAGTGGGCTCACAGGTGAACGCGCTCACCAGCAGGGTTTTGCCATGCGCCAGGAACAGCTGATTAGACACACGCCACAGCTGTGGCAAAGAGAGTGGTGGGGCGGGGGCAGAGGGGGCGACAGGAGAGGTGGACCATTATGACAGGTGACAATGGGTATTTATGTTCAATTTATTTCGCACCATACATAGCCAACCACGATAATTCTATCAGGACTGCTGCACTCGCCAATATCAACCACACGTAAAAGAAGATCTGGCCTGTTTAAGTGGACAAGCTTGAATGACTTTGTGAATTTAACCCCCAAAAAACTAGATTCAGACCCTGGCTAAGTACAGCACTCGGCGACAATCATTTTTTTCCGCACATTCAGTTGCCGAGCACAGGCAGCTCATGTACACGAGGACATCGAATGTGGGAGCACTCCTTTCGCCGGTCTGTGTGGGTGTCACCGACGGCTACTTACTATGCTCCTCGATTCGCTGTGGGCACAGATATCTAACCACAGGCATAGACTCCCCTGTGGCTATTTTCAGGCTGTGCCAATGGGAGATGACCGGCAAAGAAAAACATTCCAGGATTGACGGTAAGGGTCTAAAATGTCCAAGTGTAATGTCTCTACGCCTCATTATCAATAACTTTTAAAGTACACCACTTGTCAAATGTGGCTTACTTACTGCGAGAATGTCAACTCGAAAGCAGTGTCCATCGAGGGATTGGTGTTGCAAATCCTAAAATATATTAATTGGCCACTGTTTCCTATTATTGTTGCAAACCAAATATGTACAATGAATATAGTATTGGAAAACAAAAATACCGCCAAAAAAACCATTCCAGAACGCACAGTAAGGGTCTAAAAAGTGTATTTTTTTTCATTTAGGCCTCATGACATTAAGTGAAACCTAAAGGCAAAATTTTGCATGTTGCTCATTAGCTCAAGCAAAAAAGTCAACATGAAAGCAGAATGGCACAAATGCACAGCACGTTCTCATTGAAAATAGGTAAATTTCAAAATATCACTGTCCTGGTCACAAAAGCAATGTTTGTGGGGAATAATAGCCATTTTCTGTACTTGTGAGGCATAAGCAATTAGAAAATAACTTACTACCCAGGAACAAAAACAAATATTTTTTGTTACACAACGAGAAAGACCATCGCTCTAGCTAAGAAAATCATCTCTCCTTTGTCCATCGGCCTTGTGCACAATATTTTCCAGCCATAAAATGACTGAGACCCATGATACACTAAGAACCTAATAAAATGCCATTCATGTTCACAAGTCTTGAATAGTCTTTCTGCATACACTGCCTTTACCGGGAAGGACCATGGCAAGTGAATATGAGCCTCCCACAGCTATGCCCTTGGTAGGGATTGAGTACAAAACCATTCAATGGTTCCTGATTAACACCACCGACCGAGTGGGGAGCTGGTGGTGGCAACACTTACCCGTCCGCAGGCTGTCTCACTGCCTGGAAGACTCTTCCAGTCCTGCAAGGTGTGAAACTGTGTGTTCCACACACACAGGGCTCCTGAAAAACAAGGCAAGTGGTGACACTTGTGTGGTGGGGGCATGTCGCAACCAGTCGTTGAAATCGCAAATGTTAACACGCGGCTGGCCGATAGAAACAAGACTGTCCCTCACGAGGTGGAACAGGATAAACCGTGAAAATGAAATGGCAAAAAATGGATTTATGCTTCAATTAAAGATATATCAAAAATGTTGACAAGTCATTGAATCTTGCTTAGATGGGTTATGTGTTAGATATATATATGGCTAAAGCTCTCTAAAAATGTGATTTACATTCTCGGGCTTTCGGTAAAGTCACGTAGATAGAACAATACAATTATAATAAATTAAAATGGAAATAAAGTGAATACAAATTATTAAAATATCACGAGGTTTTGATCGCAACACGAGCAATTGCTATCAGGTGTAAAAAGAGGGGGAAAATCTGCTGAGGCGAGCTGTTTTTAAAAGACCCAAAGAAAATGAATTCCTGCAGTCACAAAAGCTTTAAGTCAAGATTTAACCGGCCTCTACAGGGAGGGGGTTTCCACACAACTATTAGATATTTTAACAAACTTCGAGACAAGAAGGCTCATCTGATCGAGTCGCTCACATTTCTGAAGAGATGCCACGACACCAAAGTAATACCGATAGCCTTCACACTCACATCTGCTGCTGTCACTTCTCCCGATGCTAAACGGATCTTGTTCAGGGCCGGCCTAGCCCTGATCTCAGAGAGAATAAGATTTCTCCGATTTTAACTAGACAATTTAGACAGGACTCTCTTTAAATCACACTTAAGATTGACGGAAAAAATGTCTACATCTGATTGGGACCACCATGGAGATAACATGACAGCCTCTTCAAGCTGCCTCAATGTCAGATAAATGCAAAGATAACCTGATTTCCAAGTACAACCTTCTTTCCAAGAAGCCAGATCCACACATTAAAAGTTAAACGTTGACAAGATTGTTATCAGAGTAACAGTCCAATTTCCGACAGCCTAAAATCGGTTCTAGCTAAAAGGCTGATTTTTGCAGTCACCCCTAAACACATCCCAGTTGATATCATTGCCCAGGTGGAAAAGGATGGAAAGTTACCAGTCTTGGATGTTTTAATCGAAAAGAGACCAGTTGGCTCAATGGGACAGTCTACAGGAAAGCCACCCATACAGATGCCTACCTAAAACATGACTCCCACCACCATCCATCCCAGAAAAATGACCTCATCAAAACTTACACCATAGAGCTCGTTGTATATCCGACCATCATCACCGATTCCGTGAATTGGAACACGTACTCCAAGCCCTCAAGATGAATGAATATTCAGACTACACAATCCGTAAAGCTATCACCCCAACCGTTGGGAAAGAACCATCTGAGGACCCAATCAAAACCATCACCTTGCCATACATAGCAGGGATCACCAAAACGATTTCCAAAATCATGAGCAAACACAAGATCCAGGTTCGATTTAACACAGTACATAAAATTTGTGATCTGATCCCATCTGTGAAGGATGTGATCCCTGACATGCAATAGCCCAGCGTCTACAAACTAAGCTGCGTCTGTGGCAGCAGTTACATTGGGAAACTAAGCAACATGTCTCGGACCGTGTTCGTGAGCATAAAGCAGATCTGTAACATGGTAGGACCAATACCTCAGCCGTGGCTGATCATTATTTTAATGCGGTGGGGGCTCACACGAAATTGACTTCTCCAAGACGAAGATACTCTGCAAGCCCAGTGGCTATCAACAAAGATTTGTTCATGAAGCCATCCAGATATATAGACAGACACAATTTCAACCGAGAAGATGGGTCCCAACTGAGCAATCATTGGAAGGACGTTATAAACCAGTTCAAGTCATAACTGGCTGTGATGTTTCCATCGTACCTTCCGATGTTAGTAGTTATTTTCGACTCTGATTTTACATTAACAGGTTCACACTAACAAAGCCGTCGTTTACATTGACATGCTAATCTCTCTCTTTACATCACTAGCCCCGCCCACGTCGTTTATGACCCTTGGGCTACACCCATTTCAAAGCTTTAAAACAGCCTGCTTCAGCAGCTTTTTCCCCTCTTTTTTCAACGGTTTTATTTAATTTCTCCTGATGACGATTGAGTGTTGCGATCAAAACGTCGTGATATTTTCATTATTTTTATTCACTTTATTTTAATTTATTATTTTATTGTTCTATCTACGTGACTTTACCGAAAGACCCAAAGAATATGGATTCCTGCAGTCACGAATTAAGTCAAGATTTAATGTGATTTACATTACGCTATATCATCTTAATGACCACAAAAGAAATAGTTTATATAAAATGCACACATATGAACTTTATTACCAGGTGAGAGCTCAGGCAGACAAAAAAGCCTATTTTGGGAGAAAGCCCTGGGGGTGGGTATATTCTAGTTAATTCAAGGCTAGAATCCAGATGTAGGACAGTTATCACCATGTGCACTTGTTAAGAGGCAATTAACGCTTCACCACACCTCCATAAATTGCATGGCTGTATGCAGGCAAAATACATGCACGTTAGGAAAGTGGGTTTTGGGCAGGACACGTCATGAAATAAGGTCAATTATAATTACACGAAACAAGGTCAAGTCGAGTTACAGTGGCAGCCAAGGGATGGAACACATCTGATAGGACATACACCGAGGAAATTGAATGATTAAATCAGCTTGTGTGCAGGTGCTTAGTGGACGATTACAGCGCAGTTCTGACATATTGTGGCAGCAGATTGTGGAGGCCTTCACATGCACCAGTGGATTGAGTATGGCTGATGATGACAATCATAGAATAAGTTAATCACCTTTAACAGAGAGCTCGTACGGGTGCCTCACCCCTGCCACCACCACGTGCGACTCATCCAGCATTGCCAGGGAAACGACCTCTGAAACGACCTCAAAGGCAGGCAGCTTCATCAGCAGGTCAGTGGTCATCACCCCAGTCTGACCATCATCCCCCGCGAAGCCAAGTGGAACCTCGGTCCTGTACAAGCCACCATCGCTACCTGCGCCACGCAGAACAGAGACATCCACATTCGCTCAACAATGCACCCCGTACAGTTAGGCATGGGTGGTGCACGCCTGCAAGTCGCTGCTTCAGAGGCAAACATTGGTTGACCGCGTCGTTATGCAACGTTTCAAGAGGACGTCTCGCATAAGAACGTTACGAGGAAGCGGGACAAATGCATGGAGTGGGATGTTGCTTTGGCCAAATTTTTTTTTTATTTAGCATCAGTTATATATTGTCAAGTTTTCCATAACCCTTTGGCCAAGTTGGCAAATTTTACTGAACAGCAATAACAAATGTATACTAAAGTTTCAATTGTTTGATCATCTTTACAGGAAATGTGATCTCTCCGCCACAGACAGATTAACAGAGCGGACACGTCAACACTTGTAAACGCTGGGAAAGCATTAAAAATGGGCAACACGTGTCACTCACACAGCGACGTGAGCTGCACTCTTCCCTGCTGGAGGCTGACATCGTGAGCCAATGGTCGGGCTCCAGAATGCCCCGGTCGCAGCAGGAGCTTCCGCTTGGCAATGGAGTTGTTGAGGCTGTGCACGTGGAAAGTAAAGACCTCATCCTGGGCAGAGAGACACCAACAACCAACGCTAAGGTAATGAAAAATGCTTCGACTTATCAAATATAAATGAATTTCCTATGCTCACCTTACAAGCAACAAATGGTGCCTGTAAGAATCTTTATTTTCGTGATGAAAGTTGTGCGACTCATGTTACAATTAGGCTAACGGAACTACAACTGTACAAATGAGACAGAACAATGTGAATATAAATAAGACGGTACAAACAAGAAAATAATGCTCAACTCTTGTATCTAATCGTGACAAAATCATGACGTTGCATAGAATATTTTTCTTATTTTATTGCTGCCTTGTACAGCTTTGTGAGATGTAGTTTTTCAAATGTATTAGAATCACTAGGTGGCATTAACCGATACGTTATAGAATCAGAATATTTATACCTGGTTAACTAAACTTGGTTAACAAGCACAA